ACATGCAACTGCTATGAATTGAGTTGATGTTGGTAGCTTAAATGTTGAAAAATATATGATTACTACTCCCCATTCTATATTTTTTAATCTTTTGTGAAAATCCTTGTAAATTAGACGGGTCACTTAGCACTTCTTGTGTCCATTTTTTTTTAAATTCACAACTTCTTTGCTGCAAGCATAAGTAGGAGTCTTCATTAGCAACTAGACCTACACTAGTTTACTTCTTTGAATTAATTCACCATTATTTATTTCCCAAATCAGTAAGTAATTTTTGGCAGAGCTTCATATTTCTACAATAAATCAAACCTGACCAAGAGCAGAAATAAAAGAAGTCCCCTAAAGTGATAGAAAAGGCGGCTTCGCACTGAAACACAGAGATTGGTGCACTCACGGGTCCCATCGAACCGAGTGGCGATGGTGTCCAGGAAGGTGTTCTGAGGCGCAATCAGACCCCGCATCACCGGCATCCGGGAGCGCGTCGAGCCGCGTCTCTCCCTGCGCTCCGAGCCATGGCTCTCCGCGGCCGTGGTCACGAAGCCCGGCAGGAACCTGGAGGAGTTCCCCGGCGCTCCTCCCAAGCCCTGGAGGAGGGCGCCGAGCCGAGACAGCCGGGACTCCACGGTCCGTGGTTGTTTCCGCCGAGCACCGCGCGGGTGATCCCGGCTGGCAGAGGCGGAGAGATGGAGCCGCTGGAGGCAGGTGAAGGGGGGCGAGGACGGAGGGGATGGAGGGATGGAGGGACCGCGGCGAAGATGGTCACATTTACGCACGGATGTGCTGCAAATCCACCCCTCTCACCTCCCCCTTTGCCTCTCTCTTCCTCTCCTCCTTTGCAGCTCAAACACTTTCTTCACTCCAAACATTCGCCCTCCGCTGCATGCTGACTGAAAAAGCTTTTCCTTTCTCCTTTTTTTCTTCTCCCCCCTCCCCCATATTTCTGTCTCTTTGAAATTCAGTCTTTTCCTCACCTCCCATTCTTTAATCTCCTGGTGAATGCTGATGAAAGTTTCATCATCATCATCATCATCATCATAATAATAATAATAAAATACTACCATCTCAGTCTGTCGCGTTTCACACTTGAAGCTGCTGAATTTGCCACTTCCAGAACAAAACGAGCAACTCAGTCAGGATTTGGCATATTAAAAAGATTCCTCAAGATGAAATCAATTTTGCAATTAACGACTGAAATATGCGTTATGTATTAATGTTAAATTTTCACGTAGGTGTTTTCAGAGTCACTCCAAGGAGAGCTTCCAGTTTAGGTATCATGATATGGACATGTTTCCATATTGTGCTGCTTGACCTGTAATCTCAGGGATTATGACCCCATGAAAACATATGGGATGGGTGAGAGGAAACAGGTGATCTGAATAAGAACATGCAGCATATCAGGAAAAGAAAAGCTGCAAACAAGTGAGGATGGATGGGACTGAAATGAGATCCACAGTCACTCGGTTAAATCCCACTTTCAGAAATTATTTTATTTTTTTTACAAAATCACAAGTGGCACATGTGCTGTTAATTCTTTATACAACTTTATATTTTATTTTATTTTTTTCTAACAAGATTTAGTTCTGAGCTGGCCATGGAAGAGGGTTGATTTTCTGAAAACACAACTTTAGTTGGAAAACTAGCTGGCGACAAGTAACTCCACTGATCAAGATGAATAAAAGTTGTAGCTACTTTGTTTTTTTATTTATCTTTTCATTTTTAATCCTTGACAAAAAGGTAAAAATAATATTGTCAATAATGTTTACTTTGAGAACACCTGGCAAAAAAAACACACACACAAAAAAAAACAAGAACGGCATCTAAATTCTGTGAGGAACTGAACTCATGATAATCATTGTTGAGATTTGTTGACAAAGCCACAAGGTTGGTTGTTTCTCTAGGGGAATTTTTATTCCCCAGAGAAACATTAAATAAATAAATCTAATACTTCTGTTTTACGTTTACCCAGGTTGACCAGCTGGTTGATTTTGATGTCGATTCTGAAGCTTTCCATTTCCCTTCCAGGTGCACCTCGGCGTGAAGCATCCGATTTTCTTTCCTGCTTCTTCCCTCTGCAGTTGACTCGGATGGCAGCGCCGCATGGACCCACCTGGTAGGGTTGGGTTCATTGTGCAGCATAATATATAGAGTTTCTGCCAGGCGATCACTTTTTGGCAGAAGTAGCAGATAAGACAGCCGTTCTGCAGGAAACATCGGGACCTCTCGTCTTAATTGCAGACACCAACCAGATTTCTATAAGTGTTTTATTGCGATTTGACTCAAAAAGGCTGCAAAAAAGACCTTTGATGATAAACTTTACCATTTCCAGTATGCTGCTTGGTGCTCTTCACAAAACACTTCCATGTGGTTTATTGTTGCCTGATTTCCTTGAAAACCATTCAGGGTTGCCACTCAACGTTTTCCTGCTGCACAACAGAATCCAAATAAACCTCTCCGACGGAGGACTTTAATTAAACACTTTATTAAAGAAGGAAAAATTCAAGTAGGATACAAAAGGACATATTGAAACAGACTGCGATTAGTTGGTTTATGCCTTATGTGATGTCATCAGAAGGTCGATGTGGGAGGGCAGATCTTGTCTCAATTGATTAAAGAAAAAGTATCTTCAGTTCATCCGTACCAATAGTGTTTACATTTGTATTTAGATTGTGCTCATCTTCAAATGAAATGAGACCTTTGGTAACCAGCCTTTTATGACATAAATTCTTCTCTTTGACAATAAAATGTATTTAATTTATATATTTTTAACCAAGCAGAGGTAGTGAGGATCCAGATTATATATTTCTTTGCCTATGGATTTTATTTTGAGCATGACACAGCATTTTCCTTTTGGTTTCAGCTGACAAGATCATTTCTAGTCAGCTGGTCCTACATTTCTTTCACCTACAAGAAAAAATAAAACAAGTTTACAGCACATTTATTTTTAAGTTTCAGTGTAAATACCATAAAACTGACTTATTTCTTTCATCTCAGCCCATGGCTGGTTTGGACTGACCAGAACCTTCATCCGTTTTCGTAAGAAAAACTCATGTGGGAATCCCCGCTTGACTTAGAACGTCTCTTATATAACAAAAGCATCACTTTGTCATCACTTCAGAGTGTCTGGAACATCAAGGCTCTAAAGTTTTCACACCTGCTGCACTTTAGCTACTTTGGGATTCCCATATGTCTCTCGGAGAGGAAACCAGCCTAAGTGAACTTCTGTTTCAATCACTTTCAAAGGCAAACGGCGAGTTAGATTTGCCGTCACTGACTGCTTTTCTCATTACATGCTGAGATGTAGACACATCGACTCATGCTGCGCTGTGAACAAGTATTGTCTGCTTTGTAGATTTCTTCTTTTTTGCGCTTTTGTCACACTTGAATGTTCAAAAGAATGTTAATATCCATGTACAGACACAGTCATGTGACAAAGTCAGTTCTTCAAACAAGGCAGATGCTAAGTTGAACCGTCTACACCTGCTACAGACCTGCAGCGGCTGTGAGAATTAAGAAAAAGCACCTTAGAGGATGACGGACGTCTTGCGGGTCAAAGGTGACTTCCTCATGAAGGACAGGCCTATCAAATGGGGGATAGAAGATGGAGACCAGGCTCAGCGTCATGGGTGAATATACAGCGGTGAGGAAAATTGGATGCTCGTAGGTTAAAATAAAAATAGATTTGCTCAACAGATTCTCGTTATTTTGCTCCTCTTCATGGCATCTGCAGCCCATAAGTTGTATTGGCAAGGATGTACTGCCATCTGCAGGGAATAACGCACAATTGAAACAAATGTAGAGGTGGAGAGCTCAATGTATGGCAAGCCTTTTAAATATTTATTCCATAGTCACTACCAAAAGTGATGTCTAACTATTAAATCACTATGTTTAACTATCAGGACCAAGCAAGTGGAAGATTGTTTTGTATTAGTTAAGTATTTGGGTTAAAAAGTCGAACATGTAAGCTGTTCTACCCAAATTCTGTCAACTAGAAACATAAAGTCAACTTAAAAACTATCAGTTACTTTGTGTTGGTATATTACAGAAGATCTGAATAAAGTATGCTTGAGGTTGTTTGCGTGTAAACATAAAAAAAAAAAGTTGAAGGAGTATTAAAACTTTTACAGACGGCATATTAAAATTCAAAGTAAAAAAGATGGTGTATATTCAAAAAATCAAAAAGATGAATTTGCTGAAATGGAAAAATAAGAAAGTTAAACAACAGTCTGCAGTTCAACAGTATCTTTCACCTTTTTTTTTTCCTAATTGGAAAAATAAAAATCTGATCTCTTTTTGTAGTTGAAACTTTCTACCAGTAGAGGTCAGTGTAGGATTGATCGACGCTGCAGCGCACTGTTTGAGCCTACTCATATTTTATTCTCATTTATTTTTATGTGATTATTCTGCCTGGTTAAACTTTATTCTCCACATTTAGAAAAAGAAAAAAATTCCCTTGTACTCACAAAATAAATCTATTTATTATGATTTTTTTTTAACTTATTTTAGTTTAATTAGAGAAAATATAAGTTTCAACTGATTTTCCTCAGGAGATTGATATATTTTATATTTATTTTATGCTTATTTATATTTATTTTTACTTTATACATGATATATTTGACAAATTGACAAAAACCATAATAGCCAATTTTCAAACTTATTCTGTTGGTATTTTAATTGCATTCTCAAAATTTTGTTCAGCACAGTCATGGCTCAATAGAAGGCCTCTCTCTAAAGAACACTGACATGCTTACTTTGGACACGATTAATTTACAGATTTATCAAAAATTGTATCTATTAGCTCTTTTTTTTTTAAACGAAATATATTTTCTTTTTGAAACAATTGACCTATTTAATTTTTATTGTTTTTAGCTTTTGGCTTTAATATTTTGTATTTTAGCCCATAAAGGAAGTGACAAATATATTTTTCAAAATACTTTGTTTTGATGTAAGTCATCTGGCCTTGAGCGCGCGCTATTGGACCAGCATCTGGCGCGCGTCTCCGCCTCCCCCTCATCACTCCAGCCGCTCGCGCCCGCTGATGATGCGTGCGACGGAGCGGTCTCGCGCCGCTCTGCCCGTCCCGAGCTCGTTTCCTCCTCTCTGAAGCAGAAAGATTATCTCCGCAGACGCGACAACAATGGGAGGACTGGACGCGTGTGGCGGCTCCCGCTCCATCTTACTATAATTCACACCGTCGCACTTGGCTTTATTCCCGGCGAAAATGGCGACGGGGGCAGGCTGGCAGCCTCCGTACAACACCTCGACTAGCAACAGCAAATACACCCAGTCTCCAACAGGGTCCGGCATGTTTTACGACGGCAGCTTAACGCTGGAATACACCCCAGACCTGCATCTGAAGATGAGCAAGAAGATCGCCCAGCTAACAAAGGTGTGTGGAAGTGAATGGATGACGTAGGGTGTAGTGGTTAAGTCATTTAGAGCAGGTGGGGATGTAGATGGAGTAGTACTGGTGTGGGATGCAATGCTATTTGTAAACATGGTCTTCTACAGTTATGAAGCTATGTAAACATCATAACTCTGCAATATGCGTCAGTTTTGAAAAGCATATTTCCATGTTTCTGCATTAAGCTTCACGAATAAGACTGAGATTTTAATTGGTGTCTATTTGTTAATTTTGAAATTGGTGCAACACAATCCAGGAGTAAACCTAAATTTGTGCACATCAGCACATCATAGCTTACTCTAATCACGTTCCATCTAATCAATAAACCATTGATGCAAATATTTCTTGTGACTTCAGCTGCTGCCATATCCCTGTTTAACCTGTGTGTGGTTCTCCTCCAAAGCCAGGAGGACCGATCTGAATTATGTAATCAATGGAGGGGCTGCAGGGGCTGAGCTGCTTCTTTGTTGTCTCCACCTGAAAACCATTGGAGGATGCAGGGATAGTATGAGATTCAAGGTGGCAGCTCCGTTTTAGAGCTTCGGGGCTCCTGGTGTGATGGCGTTGCACCAGGAGAGACAAGAGCAGGAGTAGAAAACGGGAGTTTTACATAACAGTTATGGTGATATTATAAACCCTGAGCGGGCATGGGGATGACGATCAAGGATTAGTGTCGGGGTAGCGGCACAAAAGATGAAAATTGACACTTGTGTGATGATGGTGGGACTAAAATCGCTTCTTGTCTGGATGCTTTCCACATGTTTCCAAACAGTTAAAAGGAAGTTCAACTGGGAAAAGCCTCCAACTGATTAAAATGTTTAATAATAAACTCCTTACATTGCTTCGTTTTCAGTAAAAGAACTGTCAGATTTACTGCTGTTTGTTGCAGAACTGTTTTCATTTAGTGACATTGAATGGTTTTTGGGCTTGAGTGTTCTACTTGATCACACGCCGCAGCAGATTTAAGTTTGGGCTTTGACTAGGCTACTTTAAAAAACATTCTGTTGGACTTGTGTTTTGAATTAGGCGAGCTTAAGATCACCATCTGATTGTTAGATGGTCCTCTTCAGATTTTTTATTTCAAAATTACAACAAATTGTTCAGATCCTGAAGCAGCAATGTCGTCACACGACCACTTGAACTACTTTCCATGTATTAGGACGTTTTATTTCTGTTTTACACTCACAATTCCCAGTGTGAGTTTGATTTTTCTTGGTAGGGGATCCCCAGTTATGGCAAAAACTGAAATCTCAATGAAGATTTCTGTTCTTCAGCTTTTGTCCACATCTTTCAACTTCATATCTAGGTGGCTTGCACCTGTGGTTTCCACTGGAGCAGCAAAGCGGGACATGCAGTGTCTTGAGCTGAAGGTTTTGAAATACTGGACAACAGAAAGCAACATTTTGGAGAAATTCCTGATTCGCTATGTGATGCATTTCAGTCTAAAAGCGCTTTTAGTGTCAGAAGTTTGCTGTATGTAGCAAAAAAAATGTCCATGATCTGGTGCATGAATACATGGGACCAACAGGCATCTCCCCCTGAGAAACGGGCTTTCATTAATCCTTTAATTACTGAATATGATGTTAATCCTCTGAAAACAATGAGAGCACAGACGTAGAGTTACATTAGAGCCACATGCTGCAGTTGTTCTTCTCCTCGACATTTCTGCCATTTCTCTCGAGCTCAATCAATAGCCGCTGACTGTGGCCTCAGAAGCCTCCCTCCTCGGTGAGCTGTTGTCATTTTCCTTATTCAGCCTCATCCATCCTGCGCAGAGCAGCTCTGTACTTGACATCTAGATCCTGATAAAAGTAGCACGACGCTAAATCCAATTTATTATCGACACATTGGATGGGAATATGCTATCGGCTGCTTTTAATGAGAGGCCTAGTTGATTTGTAGTGTCATAATCTATTAAAAAGCACTCTGAAGAGATTTCTATCACAAAGCTATCTGTTTTGATCTGTTTTTCTCTCTCAAAGTTACATGACTGTTTTTTTTTTTTTTTTTGCTTTGTTTTTTTTTTTTAAAAATCTGAAAACAGATGTCAGTTTTAGTTTAATTTTATTACTTTTCATATTTAAACATTTCATTTAGTGCTTATTTTTAAATTCCCCTTGCATCGCCGGGCAAATTTCATTTCACAGCAGTGGCGACAATTGTAGCTCTTTGAATTGAAAAGATTGCTGAGCCTTGACTTACTCCATTACCAATGTGTCAGTCAGCACCAGATGGGGATGAAAATACAAAATCTCAGTCTTCTGTCTGCCAGTTTCTGTCATTTCTTGGGGATTTTTCTACTAAAATATACGCAAAGAAATCACGAGGCACTGCGTCCGAGCTGGACTTTGGACTCTTTGAGTCGTATTCCCTGGGAAAAATGTTTGATGTTTTAAGCCTCTGATGACACGTTTCCTGTAGAAACTCCAGCCAAAATGGAAAAACAAAGTTCCTGATTTATGTTTATAAGAGAGATGTGGAAAAAAAACTCACTGGCATTGTCTTCATAAACCAAATACAATGACCTTTTCTCCAGCTGCCACTTTCATCACGGTTGTTTTCACCTAGAGGGAAAGCTAAGGTGTGTCTGGCAGATACTGTAAAATCCGATTTGGTTCCACTATGGTGAATATGATAGTTTTTCAGACAACTCTTCTTCTTTGTTCTATGGAGAATTTCTTTCAGAACATACGGTAATTGTTTTCATTCTTTTGTGCTGTTTTTTTTCTCAATTACATTTAAGGACAAGATGAAAATTTGCTCAAAAAAATGAAGTCCAGAGCACGAATCCAAATGGTTTTCTATATTCACATTGAACTCTTCCGCTACACCGACGTCTGAGCTCAGGATAACGAGTTCAGTCAACAGCGGCGTTTAGGATAGCAGGGGATGTTTGACGGCTTTGCCAAATGATTATTTGTTGAGCGGCGTTTATCAGGAATATATTTCACTCTCTAACAGGATTTAATTGCACTTGAATTGAGAGATTGCGGGAGAATATTTATGCAAAGCCAGCTTTAGCCCAAACACTACTGCAAGGTGCCTCCATTCCTCTGAGATGGTGAAACAAAGTAGAAAGAGAGAGAGAGATAAAGAACAAAAAGAGGGAGAGATAAAAGGATGAAAGCACGGGGAGAGTGAGGAGCCGGAGATGAAAGCAGCAGGCACGCCAGCGTCATTAAAATAATCATGTATAATTGAAGGAACATTTCCAATGCTGGGAATCCGAGCTCTGAGTCAAGGAGAGGAGAAAATCCACCTTCAGTTCCTCTAGTGAGCCGATCCACCACTCACCACTGAAGAAGAACATTCGAGCAGGAAATCCACATCAGCAGAAATCTGTCTGCTCTGGATGCTGAGACTATATGTGTAAAAGTTTATAGGCTGTTGATCCACTGCTTTCTGTCCCTTTAAGACTGTAGAGGTAAAGATGTTTTCTTTGGACTTTTTTGCAAGTCCTCAAACTCCTTAAACAACAGGGAAAAAATTAATGGTCATAAAGTAGATGCCTGCATTTATAACCTACAGCGATGTAGCGTTACGGGTTGAAAGATGGCGCCCATCTGGTGTCAGCTTGTTGTTTTCATTCATTAGAGACTTTAGATCTGGATGGAGAACTTGCGACCGTTTCTTCAAAAGCGATTACACGTCGAAGTATTGATGTATTGCGTCGTCTCAGAAACTGCCACTGCCGCGTCGATTTAAAAGTAGCGTTAAATGTCAGAAAGTCATTCATCTTTCTTCTCTGGAGGACATCACAAGCCTGTCTAATGCATGTCGTACAGTATGTTCAAGTGAAACCCTTTCTAACTTCACCTGTTACTGGAGCAAATTTTGGGCTGTCCGGTTCCGACAGGTCCGCGTTTCAGCTGACCGTGACCGAACATTAGCTGCTCTCCCGGGGGCTTCAATTTGCTGGGGCTTAAGCGTTTTAAAGCTTCTGCATATCATTTACCTCCAGCACTCATAAAAACCTGCTTATATTCCTGAGAGCGAGCGCAAGCATGACTGACAAGATGTTATTCACTTAAGCCTGCGTGTGGAGAGTGCAGCAGGAAGAGGAGGGGATATCCTGCATCCATATTGGAGCTTGTGCCGGGGACGAATTTCTCATGTTTTGTCATGATGGTGACTTGATTGAGTCACGTCAATCTGATTGGTGGTGAAAAGTCCACATTTTTTCCAAAAGGAATGGAGAGAAACTCAGAGAAAAATGTTGGGTTTTATTTTACATCACTTAGTGAGGTAAAGCTTTGTCTGCCTACAGTCTGGAACATGTTTGTCTCTTTCACTGATGTTATTGGTATTGATTTTTGCGCAGTTGATCTTCTTTTTTCCCCTCCTCCTCCTTCTCTGTACAACTATCGATCCTATATTGAAGCTGTTAATAAGAGCTTTCGTTCCCATCTCCATGCTGTCATCTCCTTCTGCCTCTAGGTCATTTATGCGCTCAACACCAAGAACGACGAACACGAGGAGGAAATCGAGTCTCTGAAAGAAGCCCACGAGGACGAGGTAAACTTTCCAGTCTCCTCTAAGTGTGTGTGTGTTTGTGTGTGCTATTTCACAGAACTGTAACTTTCTAATATTGAATTACTCAAAGAAAAGTTGAGTCATTTGGAGCAAACAAGCTTGAGAGCTATCTTACAGATACTGATATTAAGAAATTAATCTAAATAAAACAAGCTAATTATGATATTGAGACTGTAATTAAAATGAGGTAAAAAAAAATCATTTGTTTTTGTCTGGAAGCCAGAACTTTCGTACCACAAATCCTAAACGTTATTGCCACCAAACATCTGCTATTTTCAGCAAAAGATCATACCGACAGTGACGACAGTGAAACATGGTGGCGGCAGCATCATGCTGCCTGTCATGGGGTGTTTTGGTGGTGGTGAGAACGAACGCCGAGACCCAGATGATGATGATGATTTAATAAAGAGAGCTCAAGCACAGTCCAACACAGGCAGAGAGTTAGCACACAGCTAGTTACCGGTAGCAACTGAAAAACTGAGGACTGAATAAGAGAGCTAAACCAACACAGGACTTTACAGTTCAACTGTGATGGCAGGCAGACAAACGACATACGACAAGGATCCGACAAGAGACAAAGACAACAGGTGGGACTAAATACACAGGGAGGGTAAATCAACGGGGAAGACGCAGAAACAACAGAGACTCGGGACAGAAACTGAACACAGAAAAACCTTAAAATAAATACACAGAAACACGGATCATGACACTGATCCGTGTTCAGTGTTTTTTTTTATTTTTTTATTTTTAGTTTATTTTCAAATGGAAGTAATTTATCTTGGATTCAATCACATGCTGTCCCAGATACTAGCCAGTTCTGACGGAGCATACATGCAGTTCACCTCATATTGCCTCAGGCGTTTTGTTTAAATGTCACCTACTACAACACAATAGCTGCAGTAACATCTTCCTCTGTATGACTGTTCACTCATAAATCTCATTTTATCAGTGTAGAGAGTCCAGAATCAACCCTAAGCCAATAAAATGTAACACACAGGCGACTGTCTGCAGTGGTTTGCCTCAAACACTTTAGTTTTATTAAAGGAGCGCAGAAGCTAAGGCTTTTTGAGAGTTGTTTAAATGTTCGTTTTTATTAGGATTTACTCCCAAGAGAAGCTTCAAGTTCACCAAGAAATATGGTGTTTATGTAATTTGTTCTGAAACTTCAATGTTTTCAAGAAGAGGCTTTTCTCCGCTGCAAACATTTCATTAAGGTGACACGTCCTGCGTGTTGCTTCTTTAATTATATTTATTTCTTATTGCCCGATTTTTTTTTTTTCTGTGAGTTGTGCCAGCTACGTCAAAGCAAATTCCGTTTGCTTTTGCTCAGGTCCAACACATAGTGACAGAAACCAGAGACAAGATCATGCAGTACAAGAGCAAAATGGCGGACGAAGCGGACCTGAGGCGGCGGCTGGCCAGTCTGGAGGAATCTGTGGAACTGCACGACCACATGAAGAGACAGGTCACTGAATGCCGCCGGCGCCTACGGCTTCGCATACATAAACCTTCACGCTCGTGTCCGTTACATCGGCTGATCTCTCTTTTTTTTTTTTTTTTATCGCCAGGCCTTGGCAGAGTTTGAGATGTACAGGCAGAGGATGGAGGACTCGCAGCTCTGCACCGAGGCCCAGCATACCCAGAGAGTGGTTTCCATGAGCAGAGAGGTACGACCTTTTAAAGAAGATTCAAGAACGTAGTGAAACCTTGAGGCTGCAAAGTGTGAAGAAGGATTTTGCCGTGTTATTCATGCTTAAAAATCATAGCAATGCTAAAGCTGAGTAAAGTGCATTCCAGCACCAGCGCAATTTGAATTGGCAACAAAAAGAAAGAAAAAAAAAAAGCACAAATCGTACAAAGATGAGCTGTTATTGCACAGAGTGCCAACTCTTTGGTTTGCAGAAATAGCACCACTAACTTTCATTGGCTCTGCTGATAAAGATGTGTAAACAAACTGACTGCCAGTGATAATTATAAACTAGAATGTCGATTCATTACACACAACGTGACACATTTATTTCTCTTATTTTGGTGTTTATGGCTTACAGGTAATAAAAAACCCAAATTCACACATTCAGGAAATTAGAATAGTGCCTAAAAACCACTTTAAAAGAAGGATTTGTAATTGACAAATGTTATGTTCGGCCCCTATCAAGTTAAGATAACTTCAGATATTTACTAATAATCAGAGAGAAAGTAATAAAAAAAAAGAAGTCATGCTGTTCCACACTTTACTTCCTGTATTTTCAAAAGTCCTAATGAGCCATTATGTAACCCTTAATGAAATATTTTAACTACGAAAGAGCCAAAAGTCAGTAAAGAAACATAAGCGCCCCAGAAAACAAGCATGGCATATCACAGGCAGCTTTGATCTCTCCCTTTGCTGCTTGATTCCTCTTTCTTTTTGTTCTTTTTTTAATTACTTGTATGACTCCTAAAACTGAATTGTTGCTTTGAGCAAATTTGCATAATTTTCAGAGCGTTTGTTTACACAATACTTCAGGCAGGAAGTGGAAGTTTGTTTTGGATTCATTTACTCCAGCAACTTAAAAAAAAAATAAACTAGTTAAGACCGATGACTGGTTGTGAAAATTGCGCAAAAGTGGACGAGAATAAAAAGCAAGAACTATCACATCATATCATATGTCATATCACGCCACCAGCAAAACAGTCATATTGTTTGGTCTGATGACAATTGGAATAAACGGATGATTTAACTGTACTCTGGTGAGGCTGAGTAGGCTCAGTTCACTGTCACTGCGTTGGCGGCAGCAGTGTTCGTCTTGTACTTCATCAGAGCTTCATGGACCGGAACCAGCCTGCTCCGGTCACAAAGCATTACATCACATGTTATATTTTTACATGTTTTTCATTTAGATCGTGAAGGAAGCAGGTAGGGCCGCGGAGCAGCTTTCAAAATGTTTCACACTGCTTGAACTTTCCCTCTTTTTCCACAACTTCAATGAGGTTTTTTTTTTTTTTTTTTGTAGGATTTCATGTGTTGCTACTAAACAATATACCACATAACTATTTTTATTATTGTTTTATTTTTTTGCAAACGAAACATGTGAGAGAGTGCATTACTTGATGTTCCTGGACTGGAAGTCTATTCTTTTGGTCTTGATAAGTGTGGAAATATAAATACATTTTGGAAAAGTATTTGGATTCCTACACTATATTCCCTATTCACTTGTCTAAATGTTGTGTCCTTTCTTTCATCCTTCCCTTCTCGATTCCTTGGTTATGTCCTTCCTCTTGTTCATTCATTTTTAAGTTTTTATTTAGTTCCTTTGTTGTCTTTCTGTCCTTGTCTGCTACTGCTTCTCTCTTCCTACCTCTGTTCCATCTGTCCTTTTTTTCATCCTCCCTTCCTTTTTTCCTGCTTCTCTTCCTTCCTTTCTTGTGCACTACCTCCCTTCGATCTGTCATTTCTCTCCTTCCCTGTGCCTCTCTGTGCCCTTTTTCTTGTTCCCTTTCTTCCTTTCTGTTTCTTTTCTTACTTCTGTTCCTTCCTTTTTGTATTTTGAAATCACTATAAAGGACTAAAACTGGATTTTGGACATGAAAAATGTGCAAAATCTATATAGTATTCAGCCCTACAAAGTCAATACTTTGTAGAATCATCTTTTGCTGCAATCTTTCGTACTCTATCAGCTTTGCACATCTGGAGATTGAAAGTTTTTGACTCAAACTTAGTCAGATTGGATGGAGAGCATCTACGAAAATCTATTACCCAGTTTTTCCACTGATGCTTCGACTTTTTGGTTTTTATTTTACTTTGACTAGGCCATTCTAGTGCATAAATATTCTCTGATCTAAACTATTTCATTGTATCTCTGGCTGTATGTTTATGGTTGTCATTGAGCTTGTCGATACTGACAAGCATTAGCATGGTTTTATGGTTTCAATCTGGGGAAATTGTGGAAAATCTCGAGCGGTGTGAAAACTGAGGACCCTGCATGCACTCATGGCCCACAGAGGGCTTTAACCTTCTTGTTTCTCTTGGCCGTCAGTGACAGTCCAAACAGAATAGATCATGTTTCGTGGTTTCAATAGGTGGAAGAGATGCGCCGCGATTTTGAGGAGAAGCTTCGGGTGTTCAGCCAGGCTCAGGCCCAGTTTGAGGCAGATAAGCGGCGAGCGCTGGACGAGCTGAGGGCCACCCACCGACACGAGGTGGAGGAGCTCCGCAACAACCAGCAGAACCACAGCGCCACCTCTGCCGAGGACCAGGAGAAACTGGCCGAGCTGCATAGACAAGAGGTGGGCCACGACTATGAGACACAGGAAGCTAGGTGTGCAGTTATAAGGAGCCACATTCTTGATTGGCTTGGCTCAGTCCGAAGATCCTACGCTTAGTTATTATTTAGCTGGAATTGCTGTTTTTGAGGATTTTTTTTTTCTTTTGTTTTTTAATGAAAACTGAAAAAAAAAAAAAAAAAAAAAAAAAAACCCGACAGTGTTACTGGTGCTGCTGTTGTTTTACGAGCATAATGTCAACTAAAAGTGGTTGTAATTTTGATCATAGACCTTTCGTTTTTATGCATGTCATTCCATTTTTCTTATCTCGCCTCGTTTTATCACATGCCTTAAAAAGCATTTAGGCGGAAATAAAACAGTGGGCAGACCTCAAATGTTTTCCGGTTTAGTTGCAGCAAATCTCCGATTGCATTCTGGCAGCCTGGAGCTACTGGCACGCCGGAGTACAACAAACAGATTTTCTTTCCACTTCACCCACTCCGTGTGTAGGTGGAGGCTTTGATGGAGAGGGTGGAGGAGCTGACGAAGGATAAGGTCCGTCTGGTGGAGGAGTACGAGGCCAAGCTGGCCAAGGCTCAGGAGTATTACGAGCGCGAGCTGGAGGCCATGAGGCGGACGCACCAGCTGACCACAGAGAACCTGCTGGCTTGGAAAAGGACGGAGGTGAAGGGGCAAAACTAAAAAAAAAAAAAAAAAAAAAAAAAACCCAAAGCTTT